GGGAGGGATGAGACCTCCGGATAGAACAGCTGGAAAAATGGACGAGGCTTTGGTCCACGAGCCCTCTGCCTGGTCTGAAGCAGGAACAATTTCTCTGCTGAATGCGTTGGGAATTATTGTTCTGGGGCTGCCGGTTCAAGGCAAGTGAAATACTACAGTGTTCAAAAAAGATGGTCTTTTTCTTCTTTTCTTACTCCCTCCTCAACGTGTCAGCCTTCTCTTGTCCTGGGCCCCACAGGTGTATCTGTGAGCTGCCATAATTCATAACCAGTTGAATATCATCCCGCAACAAAGCCAAGTCTGTTTGCTGCCTTTCCACGTGGGTTAAATCATTTCCCAGAGTGACAGTGGACCTCTGGAGGTGGAGGGCAAGGACAGTTCTCCCACGTGGCAGCAGTGAGGTGTAATTAAATTTTGTGCCTTGTGGGGTGGGCTGTACCTTGGGGCTTGGAATGACCTCAAAGTAGAGATGACTAGGCCCAGTAAGAAAACAAAAGTGCTGGCGGGTGGAAAGGTGATAAGGTGGTGACAGGGAGCAGAGAGGTGAATTAAGACCTTTTTGCTTTGTGGAACACACAGATGTTGACCAGGAAAGTGGGGAAGAAGCCCTTCTTGGTGACCTCTCAAAAAAGCTGTACTTCCCTCAGTGTCCTCCAGCCTAAGGCTGCACTTCGGTTCCATTGTCTGTAACTGCACCTCCAAGAGCTGCAGGCTGTGTTTAGCCCATCCCTTGGCTTCCCCTTCCCCTAGCTAGCCAGGGCCAGCCCTCAGTGTCTCCTGCTGCCTGATCCTCATCCCAGCCTTCTGATTTCCCTCCTTCATGTCTCTGGCTGGTCTCTTCCCATCTCTGTTTTGAAGTGAAGGCCCAAAACTGGTCCTAGGAACCCAGATGCAGCCTCATTAGTGTCAGACAGAGATAAAAGCTTCCTGGTCTTACTCCTAAGGCAGTCCAGGACATGATTTGCCTTATTTGTAATCAGCCCTCGCTGCAGGCTCGTGCTCAGCCCTGTTCTGCAGGGCTGTTGCTCAGCTGTTGTGTTCTCAGCCTGGACTGGTGCTGAGGGCCATGTCCAAGGTCTATAGGCACACTTGGCAGTGGAGGTGTGTGATGCCTCTGTTTGCACAACTCGACTGGGGAAGGCCATGAGGAACTTGACCCAACCTTACAATTAGTGCTGTGTCTACTCCCACCTAAATCCTTTTGGGTTTCCGAGTTGCTTAGGTAAAGTTTGTTTTCATTTTTGTTTTGCTGTGATTGGAGTTTGTTTCCTGGAAGAAAATATTCTCTCAAGAAATGTGTTTTCTCATAGCTCTCTGATGTTTGGAGCCATGTGCAGATGAGCCTTTGTTCTTGCTGTCCTTGGAAATAGGTAAGAAATAGGCAGCAGGAAGGTTCATTGATGGGAAAGGGCTTCAGGGAGGGAAAGGAAGAGAAAGTCTCGGGCAAGAGATACAAACCAGTGCTGGAGAGCTGATGAGCTCTGAGGATGGCTTGTGTCCAGGTACCATCAGACTTCAGGAAGGCAGGAACTATGAAAAATGAAAGGAGACATTAAGTCAGCATTGTGGACTGCGAGAACCCAGGCTGAGTCACTGTACCCTAGAAAAGAGGATTACACTATCCCATTTGGAAATAAAGCAAGAAACTGGTAAATATATTATCCAGGACCCTGTTGGAGCCTGGGACCAGGAGGAAGGAGTAGAAAGAATCTGAGCACTTTCTGTGATACTGCTTCCTTCCATGGAGTTTTCTGCTGGGACTGGCACATCCCTGGGAGACAGGCTGGGATGGCAGAGGTTTAGTCTGTGCTTTGTTTGTGTAGCTACAATGAGGCTATAGTTCTGTCTGGTTTATTTATAACACAGATGTCACTATTTTTGTCTGTCTGTAAATAAATTGTATGGCTGGCAAAAGGCGATATAGTGGATAGACAGATTTTAGTTAGAGTGAATTATAGAATGCTACAGAGTGGTATTTAAAAATGGCCTTTAATCTCACCTTTCTCTTGAGAAAAGAAAGGAAAAAAAGTTTATCTGTTAATTATTGTAACAAAGCTGAGAGATTAATCAGAGTATTTGTCATTTCCTTTCTTAGTTGTCCTCTCTGAAAATGCACATCCCTGTTGGAGTAGTGTGTCCTGCTAGGCAAACAGCATTTAAGGCTAACTTTTTGCAATAAGAAACTGTTTATTTCCAAGGAATTTCCACAGAATTTCCCGTCATACCACTTTCTTAAATTTTTTTCACAAAAAGTTGTAATTAACTTCTTCTTGTCCCCATAGTGGTTTGCATTTGGTTATACCCATCCCAGAGTATTAATTTGTAAGTTTGTTCTAGGGAACAAAATCCTCAAGGACTAGTTGCTACTTTTTTTTTTTCCCTCTTTGTGTCATAAGCAGCTCATTTCTTATATAAGAAGGAAGAAGACAAAGTTCAAAAATGGCCCAGTGCTGTTGCGCTCTGCTTGAGGACTTCTCTTCACCTTCTAAGAAAACAAAAATACAATTTAATCATTACCTTGTACTGTAAGGGAAGGGGATGTATTGTTACAGTGAAGAGTCGGTGTCTTTTGAAAGAACGTCTTGGTTTGTGGAACTTTTTATTATGTTTGAGTAATTTCTCTTAGTTCCTCCCAGCGCTGGCAGCCGGGAGTGCCTGTGTGTCCTGAAGAGATTAGGGAGCAATAAACCTGTTTGTGAGAAGTGGCCTCGAGCAAACTGATGTGAAGTCCTATTATAGAAGTCAAGTGGCTGCAGTTGGCACCTCGAGATCTGTTCCAGCTTTGCATTGTTTGTATGAATATGGTGCTGTGAGAGACCGGCAGGAACTTCCCCTCTGCTGGGATCCAGAAGGGGAAAACCCCTGAGCAGAGCTGGGTCCTGGCTGGAGAAGCCCCTGGCAGGGCAGGGCAGGGCAGGCAGGGTGAGAGCAGATGGTAGAAGCAGAAGTGGTGATTTGTGTGATCTCTGAGCTGGGCCAGGTGCTCCCTCCCCACACACATTCACTTGGTCTGGGCTTTGCTTTTGCTGCTCTGCTGAGGAAAGGGCAGGAGGAAGCTGGGAGAAGGGTTGTCTTTTATTTAAGCCAGTGAGCTGTGCTCCCAAAGTGAGTGTCTAGGTCTCCCCACCTTCACCTCTGCCACCACCTGAGATCACCTGCATTGCCCTACTGTGGGACAGAGTGACCAGGGCTGATGCTCACCATCATCCAGCCCTCAGGAGACCCAGGGACTCCCTGGCCCCCTCTGAGCTCCAGCATCACTCAGGAGCAGACACAAAGATGTGCAATGTCTGAGGAGGAAGAGTCAAGGATGGCAGGAGGGAGCACAGGTGTTGGTGATCAGGCTGGCTCTCCAAAGGTTAAGAGCTGTTCAAACTCTGAATACTGGTATTGTTAGAAATATTGAAGACTGCAAATGATCTCCAGCTTTTCCTGTGTAGCAAGACAGAGGAGAAGATGTCTTGAAGAACCCCAAGCTCCACGTTTAATGTACAGAGCAATTAAGGACAAAAGTTTGTTCTGGCTGGTGGGATTGTGTGTACTGGTGTTCCTGCTCCTGAAATGGGACAGCATTTGGGAGAAGAGGTCCTCCCATTTAAAGAAAGGGCCATGAAGCAGAGGAGTGAAGAGGAGGAAAATCCTTCTCTTTCTTCTTTGATGGGTCTCTGATGAATGGGTTATAAAGTATTACAAACTCCAGGTAAAAGTAGTGCTTAAAGAAGCCTTTACAATTCTCACTTCTTTACCTCATTGCAAGCAAATCTTTGGCTAGTTGGGAGATTCAGTATGTGTTAAGAAAAAAGCTCCAATTTTAAAGAAACTAATGAAGTAAAGTCAGTTCATCATATACATTCTTCTGCATTTAGTGGACTCAGACTTGGCTGCTTTATCCTGAAACCATTTTGTTTTGAAACAGTTAGAATAAACAAACTGAAAGTCACAGCTGTATTTACTTGACTGTTGCCTTCTGTGCTTTATCACATATGTTGTTATAGTAATAAAACTCTTGCATTGGAGCCATTGTGCAGTGGGAAAGCCTGTTGCCTTTTCCCAGGAAGGAGTGTCTCCCTGGGGGAGCAGGGAATTCCTCATCCTTCCACATTCCAGCAGCCGATTTTGCAGCTTATACTGTAGTTACTTATCAAAGTTTAAAAAAAGTTCCCTCCCCGTCTGAAAAATTCCTTGGTTTAGGGTCTCATTGTGTACTTAAATACAAATGTTGATGTAGAGCTAGAACTGGAGATCCACTGGGGAGGGGATCCAGTGGGGACCACCATATCAGCCATATGTTTGTTACAGCTAGGAGAGGAGTGAGGAAAAGACATCATGTGAATGCCTAATGACACTCTGCTGGCTGCTCCTAATTCCTGATGAAAAAAATTCATTTACCAGTGCTTAGTACCTTCCACAAAATCAGGTCTGGGACTGTTTAAGTTGGGCACAAAATAAAAGGCTAGTTGAAGTTGGGAAGGAAGTCCTGAAAATATTTTCTTAATTTATCTCTGAAGCAGTGCTTTGGCAAGCTAATTATACTCCCCATGGATGGAAAATATCCTTGTTTGAATGTAGCCTTGCTCATACTTTAGGCAAGCTGTTTGTGTGGGTGGGTGCTCTGGTTCAGAGGGGAAATACTGAATAGCAGATACTTTGTTGTTCATGGGGCAGAATGACAAGACCAAGTCCAGCATAAGAGGAAATAGCATTGTCCTTATCTGTGGTTTCACCGAGTTGCAGAGTGACTCAATAGGAAATCGTGAGCCGCAGCTACATATGTAAAATGCTTAGAAATAGCATAAAAGCAGGTGTAACATCCTAAAATTACACTGGTTAATACTACAGAAAATTTTAATTGTCTATTTAAGATGCATTTTTATTCCTGTGCAATAATTTAATTGTTGATGGGCTTTAATTTCCCTCCTAATCACTGGAAGCACAAACTATTTTTTTCTGCTCCATGTACCATGATGTTAAAATGTGTTTGTTATTCATTGTATTTTCAGGTTCAAAGCAAACAAGAGAAGAAGGCAGGAACTTCATCCCCAGCCCCCCTGCAGCCTGTGGTTAGCACTTGCACTCCTCTGCCTGTGAATAAAGCCACCAGCAGTACCCCTGTGCCCATAAACATTCCACGTTTCTACTTCCCTAAAGGACTCCCAAATGTCTGCACTAACCATGAAGAAATCATTGCCAGGATTGAAGAGGCCTTTACAGAGTTTGAAGATGGGAAAGCAAACATCTGTGAAATGGGGAAAATTGCTAAGGTAACCACTAATGGTCTTGGAGGCCTTTTCCAACCTTAATGATTCTGTGAATCTATTCTTTAGGTTTTTAATTTTGGGAGCGATACTTTGTTGTAGTCTCAGTCTGTCTCACAGCTGTTGTAGCGGAAAAAAGAACCAGTTTCCTTTTGATCTGAAGTTTTTTGTTTAGATTTAAATAATAGTAAACAAAAATGAGTTCAGTTTGCTGATTGTCACATCAGACATGTGTTTGTTCTTGCTTTGATTTATGAAGCAGTTCTCTAAGATTTCTTAGCAAATACAAATTGCATTTTTGTTTCTCCATTCCTTCATATTTCTGCCCAGAAGATTGAGAAACTCAGAGGCAAAAATTTGTTGGCTTCTGTGGTTTCAGGTAGTATCAGCTGCCCTTTTTGTGGCTTTTTGTAGCTGTCCTGCTCAGCTAGCATGAGCTGTAGGTGCTGTTACAGTGTTGTGTGAGGAAGCAGCTTCCAACTTCCAGCTCCCAGGATGTGGAAGGGGAAATGTCCAGTGAGCCCTCAGCCCCTGAGCTGGGCATGTTCAGTACCCACAGGGCAGGTGGTAGCTGGTGATGAGTTCTGCCTTCAGGGGACAGCACACAGCACTTGTGTGGGAGCACACAAGATGGTCCCTTCTTTTTCCCTCTCCCTCAGCTGCAGTTTACAGTGCTGCTGATTTAAAACCAGCATTTATCAGACACATCCTAGATGATCAGCTTGCCCTGAATGAGTCTCTGGCACTGTAAACTGAGCAATGATGTTTCTCCAAGCTTTCATGGACTGCTATTGAGAGCCAGCAGCTTCTGCAGAGGCTGGTTCAAAAGTGCTGGTCAGGGAGTCCTTTGGCTGGAATAAATCCTTCTCATATGTGCTTTCATTTTTGTGTTCCCCTGCTGAGATCTTGCAGTATTGGAAGTAATGGACTGAGCTGGGTGGCAGGCACTGCACTGAAAACTGCAGGGTGGGATTTACTTCACCTTTAGGCATTTACTCATTAATGGTCTGTAATTAGACTTGAGGTTCCCTTGCTGCCTGTGACAGGTTATCCCATGGGAGAATAGGCCCTCCTCTTTTAGGGTGGGTGGGAGACGTAGCTGGTGTGAGTGTTCTTCTGGAAGGAAGTGCCTGTCTCTCCATTCCACTTTCTACGGAATTGTGCTAAACTGTTCAGAGCTTGAGTAGTCCAGATCCTTTTCCTAGCCTGAGAGGAGTGTTTCTCAGCCACTTGAAAAGGCACATGACAAAGTAGAAAGTTGTGTGCAAGTTCTCAACCTTGGCATGCAATAAATGGCACATAGGTGGGTCAGAAAGCCATTACTACTCCATTTCCCTTGTGTAAAGTCTCAGTGGTGAGTCTGGTGTGTAAATGAGCAGGTTCCTCTTGGGACTGCTCTTGTATTCCTCCTTGCCCTGCTTTTTCCTTACAGATCTGTGGCTGCCCACTCTACTGGAAAGCACCTCTGTTCACTGCATCTGGGGGAGAGAGGACAGGACGTGTCTCTGTGCACTCCTTTGTGTCCATGTGGAGAAAGTGAGTATAGCAAATACAAAACACTTTCTGCAAGAAGAAATCAGCCTGCCATACGAGTTTTTTTCTTTTTTTCCCCTTCTTTTCCACCACATTTTCATGCAATTTTCCTCTTCTTTAAGTGGCTTAAAAATCTCCATCAGCTTGAGATTTTTCCTCCCAAGCCCTCTAAACACTTGTTTCCATGTGACATTCACAAACTTGGAAGTAATTGTATAGATGTTTTAAGTTAGGTGGTCTATAAAATATGTTTACAAGCTCCTCAGAAATGTCAGCTGTTCTGAGGTATCTGGTAGCTTGATTGTGGATTTGGGGTATATTTGTGCCCAGCCTTATTGCTCTACACTAGTGCACTAAGCAAGTGTCATTTGGGAACTGGGAGAGGAGGTATGTCATAGTGTTACAGGACAGAAAGAGGAATGTGGAAATAAGCATCATCATATAACTGGGTACTCTGGGAGCTTTAATAGTTACTACCTTTCCCAAGCAAGCTATTGAATTTATCTGTGGAGTTTGACAGTCCACACTGTGAAAGTGGAGAGCTCTGGATGGATGCATTATGCTTGGAGTCAGCTCTGACATGGAGCAGACTTGTTCTCTTGCCTAATCTTTTTCCCTCCAGGGCAATTCAGGCTTTAGTCTACTTTGTGAAACACCTGAATAGCGTCTCCATCTCCTTTCCAGAGAGAGTTCTAGTTTTTTACTTAATGGTTGCTCTTCAGATTCTTGACGTAGTCTTTAACCCTGAATTCCCAAAGTATTTCCTGTGATGATGTTGTCAAAACAGCTTCTAGTTACCCTGGCAAAATTACAAAAATGTTAGGGGTGACTGTGATCTCTAAGTTTGTCTTGACACAGACAATATATTTTCCTTCCTTAGGTTCCTTCAATGACTTCTAATTAATCCCTCATGTATGATACCACATTTTCACTTCTCTGATTTTCACATCCTTCAGATATTTGCAGACTGTGGTCATGTCCCTCTTCTGTATCCTTTTAACTACCCCATTTCCAAGCCAAGCTTTGTATGCTTTTCTCACTTAATTGCTCTTTTAGAATGATACTCTTTTTTATCCCCTCCTGTTCCCCTCTGACAGTTATAAAATCTTTGCTGGAAAGCTGAAAAACAGAAGAAATGTAGTGTTTCTGGTAACGTTCAACTGCAGCTATGTGAACACAGGTGTAACTTTAAACCAGGTATCTTTAGTTGCTGTGAACCCTATTTCCAATTTTCTTAGTAGATGACTGACTTCTCAAACTGCCACATGCTCACTGCTTGTCAATTCTATAGGAATTGCTCAATATAAAACACTTCTGAATGTCAGATCTTTCTGTTTGTGGCTAAAACAGGGCTTTGGGATTCATCTTTATGTGCCAGATATTTTAAGGTAAAATATTAGCACCCCTTTCTGCAGCTGATTTAGAGAATATCTGTAAAATTGACAGTTACCTTGATAGGAATGTGCAGCCAAAAGGATTGCTAAATATTTTTTTGCTTATTTAAGAGAACCCTATTTTGTAGTCTGCCTTTTCCAGAGTGATGAGGCCAGAATTAGCAGGAAACAAGGTAGTGTCGTCTCTGCTGGAGAACTACAGCCACTTCAGTAGTATGTTCATGCACTTTCAGGAGAGGAAAGTAGTGAATAATCACTCACAGTAAATAATTACAGTGCATTTGTATTTTCAGAGTTAATGAAGAAAACAGTGTAGTTTTCTGAGTTTCCCTAATACTATGTGAACAACATAGTGTTTGATATATCCAAATGTTGTGTTCTGCTACCAGTGTTTGGTAAATGGCATGGAGTTCCTCTCTTCATGAGTTTCTCTGGAGTGAATCACATAACTGTGATACCTTTGGCCAGTGCAGTATTTTGTGTAGAAGACAGAGAGATAGTGTCAGATGCACACTGTCAACCAGAGGGGACTGAGATTCAAATGCTCAGTCCTACTAATGCCTTCATTAGGCTGTTCTCTGTGGCTTTGGTGCACAGCTCCAGATGGGCCATAATTAACAGGGGATGCCCTTTTTTCCTTCTAGAAGTGATTTTTCTCCAGTTCCTGTAGTTTGACAATTTCTCCAAATGTTGCAGTATAGTGAAGGGTTACACTGGAGAGCACATCCTGTGGCATCCCATTGGGCTGGTGCTGTGCACTCGGAGTGAGCCTGCAGCATTGGTAAGAGTCAGGTTACTCTGATTCCACAGGTGCTTAGTAAGAAAGCTGCTTTACCACAGCAGTGTTAACCTGGAAAAAGTCCCTGCTGGGTGCCCTGGTGCAGCTGAAAGACCTTGAAGGAAGTGCTGGCAGTCTGAGGTCAGCATTTGAGTGACTCCCAGCACAGGTGCGTTGTGCTGTAAGGCCTTTGTGACCCTCCCGGGGCTCCTGGGAGGTGCAAAGGGCTGGGAGTGACTCCTCCCCTCTCCCACAGAATCCTGCGGAGCTGCCACGACGATGCCGCCAGGTTCACTTCCCTTCTGGCAAAGCCTGGCTGTGACTGCCTGCGACAGGAGGACTTCATCCCGCTGCTGCAGGTACTGCCGCAGCTCCGCAGGCACGGTGCGGTGGCCACAGAGCTGCGTTCACTTGGCGCCTTCTTTGTTTCCGTGGCATTAAATGTTTAACCAAGGACGAGCAGACCTTTGGTTTGAACAGTACCTGGGTGGGGTTCATTTTGGAATGAAATAGAAAAAAGCTTTTGAAGTGCTTAAGTGACAAACCAGCTGCTGCAAATCCTGCTAAAGGCATTGAGGACTGGTCTCTTGTCAGGATTCGTGTTTATCAGTGCCTGGTAAGCAGGCTGCAATTTGTCCCAATTCTCAACGTGGATATTGGGGAAAAATACTTGCTGCTGCTGATAGTCAAGCACAACATAAAAGCTTATTGGAAAAGTTGTAAAAGTTGCTTGGCAAGACAGTTATAATTAAATTTGTCTAGCCAGACTACCAGATACGGTATCACATGGAAATCTTGGCAAAATTTCTGCAGTTCCAATTGTTCTGTATATGCCTCTAAATCTGCTAGTGCACAAACGTCACTGCTTATTTTTTCCCTAATATTCAGGCTAAATCTGCACATCCTCATTTCATGTCTTTCTTTCCCTTTCATTAACTTTAACAAAGTATAGTTGTTTTTTTTATTTGTGGCCATTTATGCAGACTCTGGATAGGGCTTCTCTATAGTGTCTATAAATCACATCCATCTGCTCCTCTGATCAGCAGTTGCACTTTTTCTGATCTTTTCCATACATCCCTAGATTTCTCACAGAGTGATGCCCTCTGGGTAAAACCTCTGTGGAGATGCTGCTTTGGGGAAAGATTCTGTGTCTGTGCTGGCTGTTTCTGTCTCAAACAGAACCAAGGCTGTGATGGGTAAATTTTCTCATGTTTCTCTTAATCTCTTCTCCACTGGGCATACTGCCTTTCCTTGTGGATTGCAGCTCTGCTCTTTAGCTCCTGGTGCAATCCAAGGCATGCACAGTCCTGTCTATTAGTCAGCCAGAGATCAACAAAATTACCCTGATTTATGCCACCATCTGAGACATCCTGTTATGCTGCCCAAAATTTGGGCATATCACAACCCTGAAGGCACCATGGCATAGAAGAAGCACAGCAGAACTTGGAACCCCTTTAAAGGGTAGAGGAGTCAGACATGGAGAAATTACACAGGCATTGATTCATACAGGATTTGAACTGATTCATTTAGGATCTGAACAGTTTATCCATGGATTTAATCATGCAGATTTGGCACTGTGAGCCAGTGTTTGACTTACAAAAAGCTGCTTTTGAGAAAGAGGCAGCTCCACAGGTAGTCTGAGTGAATTTTGGAAAAGCACAAATTGTATCTGTAAGCATTCTGAGGCTCACACATCTTCAATTGCACATAGGAGGCTTTCTCAAGGAATCTTTATTTCTGACACCTAGTTCTAACAAATGTTAATGTCTTCAATGAATGGAGGAAAACAAAAATTGTGGAGAAGAGATAGTTGCATGGTCAACTAATTAATTTCTGTCTCATTCAATGAAAATGAGTTTTCATCTACTCACTAACTCTCTTCCTTTGTTTTTCTGTCCTTAAGTAAATCAAACTGGCCCACCAGGTGCGTATTGCCCAGTAAATGCATTCTATTACTGTAATAGAAGGTTCTCTTGATAATTAAAAGATTTCAGTTTTATTGTTTATGCTGCAAATAGTTTCAAGAGTAAGTAAAAGTATTGGTTTATAAACCCAGTGACTGCTAAGCATTAGAAGGAGAAGAAAATCTATTTCATTTCATTTTCTCTTACCTTGCAGGATGTGGTAGAAACTCATCCTGGCCTCACGTTCCTGAAGGACGCTCCGGAGTTCCACTCCCGGTATATTACAACGGTAGGCTGCTTCTTTGATCCCCTGTGATGCCTCTGCCTCCCTTTGGGATCTGTCACTCTTCCTACCAGCAAAATCCTTCAGTTATTTAAAAATATAGGTGTTTTTAATATTACTGACCATGAGGTGTTTTAACAACTGTTTCCAAAAGAAAAATAATTTGCCTGTGTGTGCCAAGGGTTATTCCAAAATTTAATAATGGTCCTTTCTGGTCTTAAGCAAATCTATAAAGACATCTTTTTTGGCTTGATGAATGGAAAAGAAGTTCTTTGGTCTTTGGGAGCTGCTAAGTCACCCTGAATTCTGCTGGACTGGTGAGATATGGAAGGCTGCCTGTTTGAAGGTTTCTGTCACCGAAGCTTGGAGAATCTGTGATTGTTCCTCAGTACGAAGTGCCCTTTGCCTCCAAGGATCTGCTGTCCAACCTTCCTTTTGCCAGGATGCCTGTCCAGGCTCTCTGTCCCCAAGCTTTTGTGGCTGGGGTTTGTTCAGTAGCTTTGTTCCAGCTCTGCAGTCAGCACTGAGGCTAGTACTTTACTAAGTATGGTTTGTACTTTGTTTAGGCCTTGAGCTTGACTGGTGTTGGGTGTGAATCTGGATAAAAGATATACACGTTGGGAAGTTTTATCTCTACAGCAGTAACAAATTCAAATAATAACAAACCTGATGGGAGCTGTATCCCAGCAGGGCTCAGAGCTTAAAGTTTCTCCTGTTTGCCAGGGCCTGCCTGGGGCTGCACCACACATGGCAGCTGGGAGGCTCCTGGCACACACATGCTTGTTCCTTTCCTGTAAGGAGCAGATGGCACAAAGACACTTCTTCAGGGTAAACCCTGAACTGTCACACTAATGAAAATGTATAATGAGAATCCATTGTGAATGTTTTAGATGCACTTGAACATGACAGTGGACAGCTGTGTATAATCAATATGTTTAGTCCCTGTGGAACAAGACAACATTAAGCATTAAGCCAGAACAGGTATAGGAATGGCCGGGGAATTATGGAAGCACATGAATGGGTGAGTGTGGAAAGTGCCTGTGGTACAGTGCACTCTGGTATTTGGTGTTTCAAGTGTATGGAAGGGTGAGACTGAAAGGTTTAAGGTCACACTAGGGTTGGTTTCTGACTGCAGTATCCATGGGTCAATGCCATGTGTAGTTACCCTGGCTGCTGACAAAGGCAATTCTCTGCATCTGCCTTTATGGGTTCCTCTTAAATCACACACTGTTCCTGTATTTTTCAGGCAAGAAACAAAAATGTCTTTGTAGAGTAATCCATCACATGACCACCCTTGCTGCCCTTTCTGGACTCATCAGGGGCACTGCACAATGTAGCTGAGACCAGCTGTGTGAAGCTGAGCTTCCACTTCCAGATAACTGACGTGCAGGCTGCTGCTAAAGGGCAGCACCTTTTCCTTCCTCTCTCCTTTTGCACAACTTCCCTGGTGCCTGGGTTTGGTGCTGTGTCACCAAAGCAGTCACAGAACCAGACTTTCATAAGTACATGAAGCTCCTGAGTGCTTTTTGATCCTGCCTGTATGTCTGCTGTGCTTTCCTGCTGTGGTGGGAGCCTTTGGGCATCCTTCCTGGCAGTGCTGGGACACAGGTGGATTTCAAGGCTTGCTCCAAAGGGAGCAGGGAATGGTGGTGCCTGGAGCTGAGGAGAGGGCTGTGGAGCAGCACACCTGACAAAGATGAGCTGTCCTTCAGCTGTCAGGACAGCACTGCTCTGGGAGTCTGTGCTGACAGCAAAATCTCCCTGTGCTGGTGCAGGGCCAGCACCTGGAGAGGCAGGAGGCTGCTGGGCAAGCTGTGCCCATCTGGAGGGGCAGGACTCAGTCCTGTGCAGCAGTGGCTCTGCTCTCTGATGGCAGGAGTTCCTATTGCTCTCCTCTCCTTTCACAGACAGTTTGGCACACCCTTCTTTAATGTTACAAAATCCAGTATTTCCACCAGGAGACAATGAAGGAAACAGCTTTGTCCTTGGATTTTGAGACCACTTGGATCATTTTCATTGCTTCAAGGTAGAGTACCTTATACCTCCTTACAGAGACAGAGTGCTGTGTTTACTGCCACACAAGAATCACAGTTCATGTTTGTGTTACAGATAAGGACACATGGCTTTGTATTCATTGCTGGGTACAGCATCACTTGGCTGAAATCTCCTGGAGAGTGACCTCACAGTCTGGGATGGGTAAGATGTGTATGCACATTTCAGTTCTTACTGCCACCTCAGAACCTTTTAAAGGAGCCTTTTGGACACAGCAGGCTGGAATTTCAGCTGTATCATATCTGTTTTATTGGCCACTGTATTACTAAACCAGTTGTGTTTGTTTCAACAGAGACAACTTCTGAAGCTGCTGAAGATGATGCAGAACATCACAGAATATCCTGTGCATTTGTTGTAAAGCTTTAGTGTGACTTCTACCCGAATGTTCAAACCAGGCTCAGAGTTAGCAGTGCATGCTGCTCTTGGAAAGCTTTGTGCTAAAAACACTTTAAAGATTAAAGCTTGTGGAAAAGTGGTTTAGCTTATACAGTAGCATCAATGTAAATGTGTAAGGGGACAATGGCCACAGGGATTAATAAAGGTTCCTGTTTTGTCCAGAAATGGAATTGCTTTTGTTCTTGTGTGGGAAGACTGAGGAAAGGTCTGGAACTCATCCATGAATGGTTTGGGCCTGGAGCTCAATTACAGGAGGATAATGGGGAAGTAGAAAGAGGCTCTGCTTTCAAAGGCTAATTAAGAATCTGACTCCATGATCCTTGTGCCGTCTTCCAACTCAAGATGTTCTGTGGGTCTGTGGTTGTGTACTGAACTCAGAAGAATGAAGCCAGTTATGGCCTGAGTGACAGGTATAACTTGCATGCTGCACATCATCTCAGGCTGGGTTATGACCTAGGAATTTCCCAAATGTTTTTTTTTTGTTTTTTTTTTTTCGACAGCTTGGTGATTACAACCTGAAAAAGATAAGTACTGAGACTTTATAGTGAGATATATACTATGTACTTTCTGTGGAAACTGGGCCATTATTTGAATAATAAAGCCTTCACTGAGTGACTAGATATGGTGAGAGACGTGAAAAGACATCCCATTTTAGCTCTGAATAGGTTTTTTTTTCAGATGAGTGAGGAGGGAGCAGATGGAACCTTTATCAATGTGGTCTGGTAGACAGTTTGTGTCACAAATGGGAATAGTTTGTTGTCTTCTACTATCCTACAGGCAGGGGAGAAGAAGAATTACTGGTATGGAGTCCTGTTTCTGATTCTTGGGATTGCTATTTTTGAGTCCTTGGAATGGTGTGAACGCCCTGTATTTTTAAGAGTTGCTACAAAGTTGTCAGGTGTGATAATGGGTGATGTGTGAGGTGAGACCACTCCACCCTCTGAACTCTTGTGCAAGCTGGAAGCAAAAGCCAAAGTCCAGAATGACAGTGGCTACCAGAGGCGTGAAAGAAGAAACAAACACTGTGCTTAAGACCAGAAAGGAATCATTATGACTACCTTATCTGACATCTTGGGCTGCAGAGGCCACAGAACATTACTCAGTGATTGCTACAGTTAGTATAGATCTGGTTTTTGGTCTGTTTTTAATTGAAATGACACGCAACTTTAAAAGGATATCCACCTCTTAGGCCTGGAATGATGAAGGGCCTGCAGTGTTACCGAAAGGTGTCATGTTCAGCTAAATTGAATCAATCAATTCTGTCTCTTCAGGATACATTTTAATGCGCTCATCATTCTTATTGTTCTCAGAGTTGTGTGTGCCATCATCAATTGCTGTCTCACTGTCTATCTCAAAGCAGATTGTTGGGAGCAATCTCATACTTGTTCTGGATCTGTTCTGAACCAAGAACCAGCACTTGTGTGACTGAGTCCAAAGATGGCCCTTCAGTAGTGGTTGCCCACTTGAAACTAGTTCTGGCTAAAAGAGAAATCCATCCCTTTTATCTGCTAGCTTGATGAATCCCTGTAATGTCCACATTGTTGTTGTGTAAAGTTAATTTTTGTGTTGGAATAGTGTGCACTAAAGGTTACCGATGTGCTTACATGTTATAGACATCAAAGGTTTGCAGTAGGTTTGGGTCAACAAAACTTCAGTGCTGATAAGTCAATTCTATTCCTCCTTTCTCATGCCAGTGATATTTATTTGTTGTTGTTTGCCCTGTTAGGTTTATTCTTGCATGTGCTTGGTCACACATTTGTTTTTCCATACTCTGTGATGTTACTTGACAGCTGACAAGGAGCAGATTGAGAAGGGCTGTTTGCTTTTTTGAGGAGCTTGAGAGTGAGCTGTCTCACACTGGAAGCTGTTTGCTTTTGGCTTCTGAGAGTTCTGTGCCTCCCCCCATGATTTTTGCTTACTTTCACCAGAGGCAGATCTGGAAAGGAGCCAAACAAGTTTAACACCTGCCGAAAATAATTGCAAACAGAACCTCTCCCGCTTACTTTCAGCAGAGGCACTGGGAACACGAGGCATTGTTATAGTTACAATGGGTCAGACATTCACAGTGTCTTTCATTTATATGTGTTGCTTCCTCTGCACGAACCAGAAAAATCAGAAGTAATTTTTTTTCTTCCCCTAGAACCCTATTTCACTGGGGTTCCATGCAAACTACATCCCCTTAAATGTGAATCACTCAAAGTGATTCATCAACACTTTGAGCTTGTTTCCTGACATAAGTAATACATCTGCATGCCCAAAGAGGTCAATTTAGAGCAGTGAAAATATTTACACACTGGAAAGGGATAATACTATTTAAGAAGCAAATGTTGCTTTCAGACTGTGTAGTCAATTAAGGATAGTAGTATCTACAGAAAAGATCCCAAAACAGTTTTCAAAAAGAGGTCTCCTTAGGATGAGTGAATAAACCAAGGTACTGCGTTTAAATTCCCAGATTGCTGTGTTTCAGGAGTTGATTTCAAGAGCAGTGTTCATTTGTTGCAGGTTATCCAGAGGATATTCTACACAGTCAATCGATCCTGGTCGGGGAAGATCACGCTAACAGAGCTGAGGAAAAGCAACTTCCTGCAAGTACGTGGGTTTCTGTGGGAGCGGGATCCAGAGTGCAGCAGCATTCCTTGTTCCTGTGACTGAGTGGTGAGGGAGCTGCACCTGGGCTGCAGTGGGATGAGCCAGGTGCTCAGGCCAGGGGTCTGCTGGGGCTGGAGGAGCTGTGTCTGAGTTGAGGTGAGAAGTGCAAGGACAAGAATGGCCTCAGGGCGCTGAGAGAAGATCATGGCATGACTGTTTTCCTGCTCTGAGGCTTCATGGAGCAGTAGCCTGGCTCCTGGTCCAGACAGCAGGAAGGGATGCAGGACATGGCATTGCAGCCATGTGAAGTGGCTCACAAGCAGCCAAGAAGAGCTGCAGGAGTGGCAGGGGTAGGAGAGCCAATTTCCTGCCTCCTAGGCAGCCCTCAGCCCACTGACAGCTGGTCAGGAATATCTCTGCAATTTCAGGATGAGGCACCTCAGGAGATCATCTCCACAGGATAATGAATGGAGCTTAGTTCTTGTTCCAGTGCCTGCAGTGTGTCCTTATGTCAGGATTTGGATCTCTGTCCTCTGTTTGTTTTGCCCAAAAGAGCACCAGGTTAAGACTGTCTCAGGTTGCTCATGTCCAGCCCAACCTAAAGAGCCAGAAAATCTTGAGCTGAAAGGTGAAGGACTGGATAAAACAGATTTCCCTCCTGTGTCCTGTGCCCTCCTGTAGTGTGCTGTTTTCCTCAAACCCCTCAAGTATGAATTCACATTCTTTCTCTTTTCAGACATCATCTCCCCTACTTGACCCCATCAGCTAATGGAAAAATGAGTGCTCCTTTGAATTGGTTCATGCCAGTCCAAGCCCTGGGATCCCTGTTCCTTTCCAACCTCTGCTACAAATAAATCTTCCTGGATTATCCTGCATCTTTATTCATTCATTTTCACCCTTTAAACATTCTCTCATTTTTTCTTCTTTCATATCTAGTCTGCCTTTCATCTCCTGCAGCAGGGAAGTTCAGCTTCTTGCTGCATGTCTAAATGGCGTCTTTAGGTGTGATCTACAAAAGAAAAAAATCATTATGGCAAAAGCTCCCCAATTATTGTCATCTGTAAAGAGAGAGAGAGAGACACAATCTGGAGAGGCCAGTGAGTGATAGATCAAAGGTGTTGAGACCTGGGTGTCAGCAATTCATAATAGTGCAGGTCTGGCAATGCCAGCCTCTTATCCCTTCCAGAATGTCACTGAAAACCTGGTGGATAGTAGGATGTGAGAGTTTTCTTTGGATTCAGTTGGATTCCTTGGATGTGGAGGTGGCTGAAAGTTGATACTGAAATACCAGTGCCAACACATAGCACAGCATCTATTTTATGGTTATGGGTAGCAGGGCCAGTCAGTCTGCCTGCCTGGGGACACCATTCCCTGGGATAGCTCAGGCTGTGTTTTGCCTGCTCCCTTGGGAGAGGCTGTGAGGGCAGGAGGGGCCAGGCCTGCAGCTCGCTGGATCCATGATTTCTTAGACAAGAAGGCTTCTGGTGTCTTGTGGCCTCAGCACCAAGAAGAAAAGTAGGGAGGTGGGAAATGTGCAAATGCCCTCTTGTTGCTAGGAAGGACAGGGAGGTGTAAGGTGGGAATGAGACATGGATGTTAGCACGAAATGTTTCCTAGTGAGAAATGTCAACAGAGGTTGTGGTTGGAAATCTGTTTGAGCATCCCAGTTAAACTAGAATGATTCCTGCAACAGCACAGGGAAGTCAGTGTGATTAGTTTGGGGTCCATCCCTCCTGTCCCAGTTCAGGTGTGAGTTTGGAACAAGACTTGATTTTGCCCTTCAGGAGGCAGACAGGGATGTGTGATGTGTAAAGACATACCTCAGGTCCTGTGGAAGTGGCTCTAAGAGTCTCTGGTGCAGGTCAGGATTGTTACCCAGACCATGGATCCCAGCTGACACAGCAGTTTGTGTTCCTGTTTCTCTGCCTCACTCTTCATTAGAGCTGAAAATGAGCAAAAAGTTTTAACAGGAGTGGCAGAGATGTTGTGCTAAGCAGGATGGCCAAGCCAGGTGCTCTGTAAGTACCTGCTAAGGAATACAGCAACCACATGTCTTGGGGAAAGGCTGCAGTTGGGTTAGTTGTCAGGGCTGTGTTCACCCAGCTTCCTGAGAAACTGGAGCACTTCAGCTGCTGAGCTGCCTCTTCATCCAGATTTAACTTCCCACTGCATTTGTACCCTTTCAGACTCTTGCTCTCTTGGAAGAAGAGGATGACATAAATCAGATTACAGATTACTTCTCCTATGAGCACTTTTATGTCATATACTGCAAATTCTGGGAGCTGGATACTGACCATGACCTTTACATCAGCCAGAAGGACCTGGCTAGGTACAGTGATCAAGGTATGATGCCTGCAAATGTGACAAGGGCATTGCTGAAAACAGAATGTTCCTACTGAAGAATAAAGCCTGCCTTTAATTTGGTTAATTTGATGCCTCAGAAAAAGTTTTAATGTAGCCACCCATCTCTTAAAGTGCAATCTAGTTATGCATTAGAGGAATCCAGAGTCCAGTGGAGTTTGGGGGATTTCAGCTTGCAGATGGACTCTGGAGAGTATCTCTTCAGTTCACAATAGAACCTTCCTTCCAGAAGTTATGCTCTTTGTTTTGGGAGGTTCAAGTGCCATAGATGAATGGAATACAAATCCACAAAGGGCTAAAACACCTATGTGTTCCAAGTGTAGGCATTTATGAGGAGGCTGCGGGGGTTCTAGGGGAGCATGGCAGTCACAGCACTCAGGAGGGTTGATCATAGGGCTGGGTGGGTGGGCATGGAGGAGTGCCTCCTTTGGGATGGGTGATCTGGGAGACTGGACCCTGCTGGGAAACTGCAGTGTGGAAAGGAGTATTTGTTGCACAGGAGGCTTGAGAGCCCTGAGGTGCTGGGAGGAGCCAAGGATTAAGGGGAGAAGCCATGGGGTGCAGTGCCCAGCGCCTGTCAGCTGTGCCAGGGCACCTGAGGGGTGGGGCAGGCTGGGTCTGCCTGGCTGCAGTGCCAGAACTGTGCCTGGTCCACTGGAGTGTAGAAGGAGTCCAGGTGGGACTCAGCTGCCTGGGGTGGTGAGGTCACTGTGCAAATCCTGCCCAGAGCTGGTACCTGCTGCTTGGCTTGTGCTCTGCCATAACAATCTATCCCACATATCTCCTGGCTGGCAGAGCCTCACCTTTATGCTGGTGTTCCATTGTCTTCCCTGCAGCATGGTTGCCACAGCCTATCCTTTCCTCAAAAGTGTTTTGTAGGGATTTGATGTGTCATTTTTGCTTGATAACTGAACTTCTTTTGCAGTACACGCTGGGATAGTCTCCGTCTATGTGACAATTCCTACTGCAGCAAAGTAGGAGTAGCGTGCCCATTTCCAAGGATCCAGATAACAGTTGCCATCTTTGTGGGACGGTGTGGTGGTTGGAAGGATACAAAGACAGACACACTGGGAGAATCATCTTGGGGTTTTAGAAAATGCTGCTAAACAGCGGGTGGTTAGACAGGCAGTGTAGTTAGAGCCTTCTTTTAACAATGGGAAGGGGGTTTGTGTGGATTCAGCATGAACAACTGGTTGTAGTTATTGCTGTGAGCTGTAGCTTCACTTTCTCCGTGTTTTCCTTGTTTCCAGCTTTGTCAAACAGGATCATTGAGCGGATATTCAGCGGTGCTGTGGTGAGGTAAGGAGTAGCACACTGCTTGGGGGAAAAAGGGAAGGCAGTTTCTGTCAGGCTGAGAAATACAAATTATTCTCAGAAATGCCCCTTCCAAGAGGTTTCCAAGAGGGTGCTCCAGCTGGAGCTGCCTGAACATGGAGTGAGACTTCTGGATAATTTAAGAAAACAAAATAAAAATCCCATGGGATGGGATAACTGGGCATAGCTGGAAGACATGGCACAGGGATAGCTGCAGAGCACTGCTTTGAAGTCTCTGAAGAGGGATGTGCTGTGGGAGGGCATGTGGCAGATGAGCTTCAGCTCTGCAGTGATAAAAGGTAGCAAATGCTGTACCTGATGCTGCAGGGTGTAGGTAGTACTGACTAAATAGGTGACAGTGCCCCATTTTCTCTTGCTAAATATCTTTGACATTTTGAGTGTTTAGGGGCCTAGTGATTTTTAATTACTCTTTTTCTGCCATGTCTTCTAGAGGCACTGAAGTTCAAAAGGAAGGGCGCATGAGTTACGCAGATTTTGTGTGGCTCCTGATTTCAGAGGAAGACAAAAGGAGTGCTACAAGGTGAGACTGATTTCTGTGGATTAGTAAAATCATTGAGATGAGCAAATAAGGTATGGAAACTTCTGTGACTTACCACTTTCTACAGGAGAGAGCAGCTTGGGGTCTGGAGGTTGTTAGGAAGAAAACATCTTACTGGTAATGGTTGGTCAAACAATTTGACTTTCTTGGGGAAAAATTTTATAGAAGCAGAGTTTTCTTGTAATTTTTAATGTCTTGGTAGTCACCTGATGCCATGAGGCACTGGCTCTGAGCACACACTCCTGAGGTGATGGCAGCAGTTGGGCACATCCCTTCAGAGGTGGAATGGGTGTGTAAGAAGGGTTTGTGGGGAAATTTCACTGTGGCACTTCGTAAAACCTGCCTGTGGCCTGGTTTGTACAGCCAGGAGGAGACTGGTGGAGATGATGCAGGTGTGTATGTGAGTGTTAGCACAAGGAATCTTACACATAACAAGAGAAGAAGAATCCAGAACTGCAGGCTTGGACCCTCCAGAGGGGAAGAGGGATGCAGAGTGCAGCTGCCGAGAGCTCTGCCTTGTGTATAAAGGAACCAATGAGTGCATGACACAGCTGCTTTGTCCCTCACCAGGGTCCCTGCAGTGTCCTGGGCTCAGAGCTGGCTCTATTTGGCCAGCTCTTGCTGGTGGGTCAGGCAGGGACTCTCTGCCCTACATGATCACCCCTTGGGCTGCAGTGCAGTGAACAGAGGGTACAGGGAGACAGGTAATGAGTGTGGTTGTGCTGCTCACAGCCACCTGGGAGACTCAGGAAGTGCTTGGGGTGTTGACCTGTGCCCTCACCCTTTCCAACGTGTCTTGTCATCCCTGGGTTTATGCCAGGCTGTGGCAGAAGAGCCTTGGGAGTGGGTAGGGAGAATGTGCAGTGCTGCAGTCTCTGCTGTGTGGATGTCCCAGTGCAGTCCGCAGTGTCCCTGCTGTGTTCCCAGCATCGAGTACTGGTTCCGCTGCATGGACCTGGATGGGGACGGGGTGCTGTCCATGTACGAGCTGGAATACTTCTATGAGGAGCAGTGTGAGCGCATGGAGGTGATGGGCATAGAGCCTCTGCCCTTCCAGGACCTGTTGTGCCAGATGCTGGACCTCGTTAAGCCAGAGAGGGAAGGTAAGTCCTGTTTAGGCAGAGCTTTCATTCCCTTTCATTTGTGGGAATTGAGAAGGTAAAGGCACTGTGAAACCCATCTGCAGGCAGAGCCCTGTGTGAGAGTCGCAGGGCAGAAGTTACTGCACATTGGGCTGCTGTGTTGTGCATCAGGAGGGCTGAAATACTTGTGCATTAACTGCCTGGGACTGAATCAACAATTCTTGTGTGCTCCAGCTGTGGGATGTGCTGACAGTCTACACTGTAAAATTGAACCATCCCCATTCACATGCCTTCATATTTCACATGAATGTCAAAGGCCTCCATATGTATGTGATATTTAAGCTTAATCAATACACCCATTTATTGATTAGTGTTAAAATCCTTGACTGACTTGGGAAGGAATTTTTTGCTGTTGAAGCCTACTGGTGTTACAATTAAAACCTTTGTAAGACCCCAGTAACACAACCATGTGGGGTTTTTCTGTAGGAAGAGTAACCTTGCGAGACCTGAAGAGGTGCAGAATGGCTCATGTGTTCTTCAACACCTTCTTCAATTTAGAGAAATATCTGGACAATGAACAGAGGGATCCCTTTGCTGTGCAAAAGGTATAAATCACCTTTATTTCTAAATAAGAAAATATCACACTCGTCTTTGGAGTGCTCCTGGATGTAGGGAAAATCCAACTGAGTAAAAGAACACTTTTTTCACGAGTACAGCTTATTGATTGTCTCCCAGAAGCCTCTTATCTGCTCAAAGTACAGAAAAGTGGAGGGGATGCCAAAACCAGCTCTGATTCCCTCACAGTTGTTCCCACATAATCTGCAATAGAAACTTTGTGGTTCCATGATTCAAAGTTTAAATACATCCCAAGACAGAACCACTTGGTTTTTTTTTTGCTTAAACTGGATCATCATAAAAGCAGTCAAGTGGGACCAGGGGGATAACTTGCTATCCCCATCCTGTAGTAACTGGCAGAGTGCCAGGTAGTTATGGGGGTATTCTGTAATCTTCTCTAAAACTGCCCTAACTTAGCAAACTGTAAAGAGTCCCTCAAAAGATCAGTTACAATTAACCTTTGATGGACATATTTGAAACCACCGAGTTCTTCTGTCCTGTATGGAGTGCACAAACTGAGCTAGAGCACAGCAAGTGTGTGGTGGTTGCATTTTTGAAGTGGAGCAGATACAGCTTGTTGGCATCTCAGGTCACATGCTGAGCTTTACAGACCCTGAGAGGGATTTTTTCATAGTCCTTTATGTGCAGGTGTTAAAACACTCCAAGATGGTTGTGACTTTCTCAGTTAAGGCAACTTTTGCCTGGCTGTTTCCATCCATTCTTTACTTCCCTGGAGGCTAACTGTGTGATCTCTTTAGGACATGGACAGCGACAGCCCCGAGCCCTCAGACTGGGACAGGTATGCGGCTGAGGAGTACGAGATCCTGGTGGCCGAGGAGTCTGGCAATGAGCAGCTCCAGGAGGGGTGAGCACGGCCCTGGCACTGCCCTGGGCACTGCCCTGGGCACACATGGCTGCCTCCAGCTGGGCTCTGGCAGGGGCACGTGCTGCCACTGCCAGCAGAGGGGTGAGCATTTGGACTGGGCTCCGGAGCACGTGAGGCCCAGGACAGCTGCTCCTGCAGCAGGAGTGGAGAAGTGTTGGGGGGCAGCCACTTGGATCAGCTGCACACATCTGTCAAGGGGCAAAAAAGGCAAAGCATATTTGTCTTGGTCACCATACAAAAATAGAGATCAAAAGACTTTTGCTGGTCTTGGCCATGTACTGACCATGTCACACTGTCGTAGATTAGAAGCTGTAGCTCTGTTATATTTATTATACCTAGCAGAGACTTTCTTTAGTCCAACTTTGTCTATTAGTCTGTGCTCTTTGTAAGTTACACTTCAATATTTCATTCATTTACTAAGTTTGTTGAGACTTTTTTTTAAACATTTGGTTTCTTCAATACCTACACTCAGTTTTCAGCCTTCTGTAAGATTCTGGACAGACACATCAGCTATCTTTAGTCAGTGAATTTAGGCAGGCTAGTTGTTCCAGAACTTCTCTGTGGGCAAGGGCTTCCTGAAGATAAATGGAGACTCAGTCTAATCTTTCTTTAGATTTGTGTCTGTGTTGGCATCTTTTTGAGAATATTTCTTTCAACCACCCAAAGAACTTACCCTGTGTTAATCCTGCCTGATTCAGGGTTGCATCTACTCTTAAGCAGTACTTACAGAGCCAGTAGAGTATTGAGAAGATTGCATCATTTTCAAAACTTCCCACACTGGAAATTGCTTGAGATAACAGTAGCACCTACTAATTAGGCACAAAGATTTGCAAAGCTAGTGAGAGCTTTTCCTCTCTCTGCCTGTGCATCCAAACAGCAACAGGCTGTTCCCTCAGCCCCTCTGAGCTGCCTGGCCTTTTCTCTGACCTTCACAATGGAAGGTGGGGTAGGGCAGGATGGAAGATAAAATTGCTGCATTCCCTGCAGCTGCTTTGCAACACCTGTGTCCTCAGCACAGAAAAGAAACAGGAGGCTGCCATTAAAGCTTCATGCAGGACCATGAATTCCCAAAGTCACCACAACCAGGGGAAGAGTGACAGGTGATGTCAGATTTTTGAAGTTGGTCTGAAGCAGCTCTGTGTCTTCCTGCAAAGAGCATGTCAGCAACCTGGCTGCTAGCTTTTAAGAGCCCCTGAAAAGCTCTGTAGTCATGGCAGCAGGATTAGATCTCATTTGTGGAGCATAGCAACAGACCACAAAGGAAAAAAGAAAGGAAAAAGAAAAACAAAGACCTGGATGCCCAGAGAAAGTTGCCAGAAAGAGCCATTGAGTTTTTGCACATAGATTATTTTTGCTCCGTTTTGAGGATGACAGAAATGGAGTGGGGAGAGAACCAAGACAATTCCTGGTGAGCTCTGTGAGAGACTGGAAGATTTTTGGCCAAGTTAGCTGGCAGAACATGAAATACGGTCTTTGTCTTATGTATACATTTGAAAACAACCATCATTCAGCAATCACAGATGCATTAATGAGTGTGTCCCACTACTGTGATTAGCCCTGCCCCTATTTCTCTGGAAGGAAAGTTTCTAAAGCCAGTCAGTCTAAAGCTGGCTGAGGCATGCCCAGGAGAGAGCCCTGCTCCCAGAATGGGAATCTCATCAATGCGGTGGATACTCCCAGTATCCACAGATACTTCCAGGATGCTGGACTCAATTGAGAGCTGCAGTCACCAAAAATAAGAGGAAGGTCTTGTCATGCTCGAGACAACAACAAAGCATTACATTTCACTGGAAGCCTCAGCTGGTCTAAGCTCTTCTCACCACACTCTGCTCTCTGACCTTTGTGGGATTCCACAGAGAGGCTGTCCCGGGGAATGGATACTCACACTGCTCTCTGGAGGCAGCACCAACAGCTGGCTCTGGCCAGCACAAGCTTTTGATGCAGATACAAGCCTTGGTTTGCAGCAAGCCAAGCCTTCCCTGCAGGGCAGGGCAGCAGTGCTTGGTTCTTGTCCCAGAACTCAGCCTCAGCTAGCTGATGGACATGGAAACCGTCATTGCCTTCAGGGAAAGAGATCTTTCTACAAGGGAAGGAAAGGAAGGAGGAAGAGAATCTTTTATCAGCTGCTGGTGGGAAAATGTCCCCTGGGCAACAGGGAGCCAGGGCACAATGCAGAGCATCCTGCTGAGAGTGGAGAGGGGGGACAGAGGCATAGGATCAGAGGATGTTGGTTTAGGCAGCTTAGACCATTGTTCTTGTCTCCCTCCAGTTGTCTGATGGCTCAGCTGCTCTATTCCCAGAACCCAGCAGTGTGAGGAAGGGAAAGGGGGAACAAGGATATCGTTGAACCACCCAGAGCCAAAATGTATTTGCCAGAAGGAAGGGCAAAGAATTCCCTGGAGTAATTTCCATCCTCTGAACAGCCTAGAGTTGCCACAGTTGAGTTTAAGGAATGGGTATTTAACCTACACAAGCCCATATTTGTTTTCATTGGATGAAGTTCTGAAACTGGCCTGGGGGGAGAGCAAGGATTGACTATCTTTAGTGCTAATCTTGTTCAAAAGCATCCCAGAGATGCTCCTTAGCTATAAAGGTGGAAAGCATTTATTCCACAATGGAAAAGGCAGGCACTGTTGGGCCTTAAGAAGCAAACCAGTGCAGTGGAAAAATAGCTCCCTGGGAAAGGACAGTGGGAAGTCCTTTGGAAGCAGATATGAGAGGTTTAGTGCAGAAGCAAAAGATGCCTGAAGAAAAAGATTACAATGGAGCTCCAGCTGCCCATTCCCCTGGTGACTGTGTAGTGCAGGGAAGAAGTTGTGTTCCATTTGTAGGAGAGAAAGGGACAAGGCTAACAGAAGGTGGTAGAATTGGAGGAAAACGAGATACAAAGGAAAGTTCTAAGAACAGCATTCAAATGGCAATACAAAGTTTTCCTCAGCTGCATCCTTTAAACCAAGGAGAGATTAGAGAAGCTGAGGCACCTGCAAACATTCCCAATCCATTCCTGATGGGAGAGGCAGGGCAACACAGCCCCCACAGGCACCATTGAGGCAAGAAGGGTGCAAATTGCACATTTTTTGGCAACCTTGCACACGTGGTCAGAAGAGGTTTGATGCAGGATCCAAACCAGACCATTGTTTCCCTTTGTCCACTTATGCAAGAATCCAGAAGGTGGCAGAATTACTAAGCAGGTGCTTTCCTTATGGAAGAGAGGACAGTGTTCTCCAGGAATGTCTGGGTTGGTCTTCCCTGCACACAGGGAGCATCCTGTCTACAGCAGGACAGACCCTGACAGCCTCCCAAGGGTTTGCTGTGCTTGCATATGGGTTAGCCAGGGGAAAAACACCACAGGAGGGTGTAGACAGTTCCTTCCTGGCACATCCCTGCTGGGCTATCAAAGGAGTTCACCTTTTTGCAGCACAGTTTACCACTGAACACAAGAGCCATTCCTGTCCTGGCCATTGGAGCATAAATGCTCCAGCATTTCCTTTGTGAGCAATCTTGCTTTAGAACAAAAGGAAGAACTTTAATTTCTTGGGAACCCTGCAAAAGTAACCCATAGTATGCTGTGACTGAAGGGAAACATCTTAAAAACATCATTTCTTGGGACTAGGAATGGGCTGAGAGCCCCAGAGCCATATCCTGTGTTGCAGGTCATAGAACCCAGCCAGCCTGGACAGTGAGCTGGAGCTGGGAATTCCCACCAAACCTCCTCAGACCATAAATGCTCAGTCCTGGATATCAAACTTCTGACTGAGGGAGAGAGGAACATGAAAGCATGGCCACAATTGTTCTGTGTCTGTCAAAACACACCTCAACCAGAAGATGCTTTGAACCAGGTGTTTCTGAGCCAAGGCTCCCCTGGGGCCCAGGGCTGTGGTTGGATTACTTTATTTCTACACTGAACTATTGAGGCTCTGGGAGTTCCTGACAATTGTTACTGAAGCTGGATTCAAATTTTCTAATGCTGAACACCAGTGAGATGAGAGGCTGGATGGGAGCACAGATCCATGTCTGCTGTCAGAGTACTGATGACTCCCACCCTCTTCCCCATGCCTCGGGAATCTCCTCCTAAAGCTTCATCTCTCACATGCTCCTCCTGCATTTTAGCCACCTGACTTAGTAACCACTGAAATAACACCCCTGAAAACTAAAATACAGCTTTTAAAGACACACCTTTTCTCTTTGCAGATCATGTGAAGATGACTATGACACAGATGAAGTCTTACCTCCCCCTGAAACTGGAGACAAGTCAGACAAGCTAATTATCTCAGATCTCTGAGCATAGAGAAGTGGAAGACAGCCCATGTCTTTCAAACTGGATAGCATTCAGTCCCAAGGCACTTGGGGGTTTTCCTTAAATCTGTCATTGGAACAATGTGCTTAATTTTGTACACTGAAACTTGAGACCCCTTTTTGTCTTCCTGTGTAATTGCAATAAGGTAATTTCTATGAAAAGGCTTTTTACAATGTGTTATTGTGCACACTCACTGAAAATGGTGATTGCACCTTGTTTCATTTATATATAAATTCTGTAATGTCCCCAGATGTGCAATAAATGCCAGCATCTAATGATTGTAACAGCTGCATGCAACATCTATAGTGGTCATTTCTCAGTTCTGTGCTGTGCCACTCTGTCCCCTTGGCTTTACACCAGGAGTGACAAAGGAGCTGCCAAATTAACTTCAACATCTGTCTAGAAATCTTCTAAAATACAGGTCACAGGGAAGTTCTTTTTTTCCTTCCTGTCCTGGAAACAAAGGGAACGTGCCTGTGCATGGGGAGATGAAGTCCCTTTGCCCCCAGCTCTTCACTGGCTGCTGGACTGTTTCACTGCTGTGGATCTGTGAGCAGTTTCAGAACTACACCACATCATGTTCTCTAGGAATTTGAGATAGAGTTACCTGTTCTAGTCCTGTGTCCCCTCCTGTGCTGATCTGCCTCTGGACAGAGCTTTGTCTGTGTAGATTTCTACTTTGCAGAAGTGTTTTGCAGAGTATTTACAGCAAATACAGATCTCTGCTGTTCAGATACTGTGTTGAGACTGCTGTGCCTGGTGTGCACCAGTTCCGTCCATTCCTGTGTTCTCCTCTCCTGTAGCCTTCTTTAACCTCTTTAACCAAGAGACTAAGCTGAGATAATGAAGAAAAAAACCAACCCCCTCTTTTAACTAGTAAAGGAATTAGTCTGTATTATTGCCAAATTACTTTTTCTCCCAGGCTCAGGGAGGAAATGCTGTAACTAATGAATTCTTGCTTTAAATGCAAAATTAAATGGACTTTCCCCCTAGAATCAAGTGTGATATCTTTGCTCTCATCACACACTGCTGCTGCAGCTGTCCCTTCTGGCCAGCAGGGACTGTGGTTCAGCACAGGGGTGATTAGAACAAATTCTTAATTTTAGCCCTCATATATGTACAAGTAGGTCTGGGCCTTACCTTCTCAGCTGGGACAGATCTGAGCCCTCCCAGCTGTTCCCAGTCTGTGATGCTGTGTGTGCCCTGTACCTCCTGCTGCCTCCCTGTGAGAGCCTCAAGCTGTGCCTGCTGCCAGAATTCCTGGGAGATGCCTGTTCCTGCTCCCAGCAGGCCCCTGCTGCCCTCCCTGGAGGCAGAGCACACCCGGGCACTGCAGAACTCGTGTGTCCCCATGGACAGGACAGGACTGGATCCCTGCAGTGCCTCCAGGGGTCAGGATCCAAATGAGGACCGGGCTGATCCCTCCAGTGCAGTCTGGGCTTTTCCAGGAGCCTCTGAAGCCCAGGCCTGCCTGCTGCTGCCCAGGGGAATGTGCTGCTGCTTCCCTGGGGTCAGAACTCTCCCAAATCAAACTCAAGAAGAGAGAAAGGTTTCAGGTTGAACTGACCAGATGTCAGGTTGAACTGACCAGACGTATACACATCTCCCAGGATCCTGGACTTAGTATTTGGGAAACTTCTGGATGCCCACATTGTTAGCAAAGGCCCTGCCAGTGGCCTGCATCCCATAGTAGCAGATGAAGCAGGGAGCACCCTGACCAAACCAAGACAAACCCCTGGAATGCAGCAAGCACACAGCACATCTGGATCCCATCTCCATCACTGCCATAACCTTGAAGGAAAACCTTCCCTGGGGGTGATTCCATAAATGCCCAAATGCAGAACCACCAAGGAACTGACTGCAGGAATGGACACAGGATGGAGGTCCCACAGCTGCTGCTTGTAACCAGCTCCAGCCATGTTTTCCTGAGAAGAACCTGGGCACAGCAGGAGTTCACCCTCCACTCACTGCCACAGTCCAGAGGGGCCTTTCAGTTTGATGTCCCTTTACATCACTCCGAAGACTAAGATTCCTCAAAAGGAGCAAGAACCTGACCCCCTTCTAGGCTGAAATGGAACCCTCATGGTGCTCCAGCAGCAGCAGTACTGCAGTGGCTTGTTTGCCAGTTCTGGAAAGCCTCAGTCACCCACCACTTCAGGGTCCTTCTTATCTGCCTTTTGCAGAGGGCCTTTAATTCAACTCATCCCTGAATTCAGGCTCCCACCTCACACCCCACCAGCCTGAACTGGTGCCTTTCTTTGCAGAAGTCAGAACCCAGAGTCTGGTAAAACTCACCAGCTGCCTTCCCAAGGTTTGGTTAAATAAATGGAGACAGGAAGCTGATAGCTGCTCTGCTGAGCCCAAACCCAGCCCCTCTCTCCTTCAAGCAGACATCCAGTACTGATACAACAACAGAGAGTGAGTCCAAACCCAATCCACTAATCCATGCTTTCTGGCAGGTCAACACAAGCTAATCTAACCCTCCCCCCCCTCCACCCCCCCAGTTTACAGCAAATATTTTGCATACAAGCTGCAGAAGCCACTGCTACTGTGGTGGCAGTGCAAAATCTGCAGTAATATTCCAGGAATGGAAATCCATTCTCAGTCCTAAAGTACTTGAAAATAACTACAATTCAGCAGGCACATGTGCATTAATAGAGGAGGTGTTCTACACCCCACTCGTGACTTAGCCCTACCCACAGCTGCTCTGGCTGGAAGGTTTGTAACTCTGCAGGATTTAAGTGAGGTAAATTTGGGAACTTTTGGCCTACTTCTTTCTTTTTCCTGAGATAGTCAAGGGTGCTTGTGTCCAGCCAGCAGAGCTGCTCAGCTGCAATGGAGCAGCCCCAGAATCCCTGCCCAAAAGGTTTGCAGGAGTCCCTTGGCTCTGGGCTCTGCCTCCTGACTCCATGTCAATGCCAGTTCAGATGTTGCATCCTGGGAAGGACAAATCCTGCAATTTTTAAGTGCACATCTAGCTCACACTGAAGGCTTTTTCCTTACAAGTAGTCAGAAAAGTGAGTAAAATTCAGTTTTGCATGATAAAAATATGATTGTACTTATTTGTTCTCTCTAGTCTGCTTTTGTCTAGCAAATTGAAGCCCTGTGTTCTTACAAACCCCTTGCTTTTTACTGTTGTATCACAAATATTTTCTCTCTGCAGTACTAAGATGGGAGGTATGGCTCAGTATTGCTGCTGGAATGGTACTAGTTGGATTTTCTCTCAGTAGTACTTGCTGCATCCCAGTTTTTGGCAGTGAACCCTGGGCACTGCTCCAGCTCCCCTCCTGCCTCCGAGAGGCAAGTGCTGCAGAACAGACATGGGCAGCAGAAGAGGGACTGCAAAGCTTTCCTGCTCTCCTGAACCAAGGATTTAACGAAGCTGACTCAAGACACTCTCACCAAGGTACTGGGCTTAGTTTCTAAAAGCAAAATAGTCCTGAAAGACCAACCCTAAGTTCACTGAAATATCATTGTAACAGTATGGATTTGGAGTCTCTAGATCAGTATCTTAGGTCTATGCAAACAAAACTGAACCTCAGGGATGAGCACAAGCTACTGTAAGAAAAACATAAACAGAGCTTCCCCTTGTGTGCTCATCTTCTCACTGTATCACTGGGTGAGGGGGTTAGAAACTGAATATTTAATAATAATAACAAAGGTTCTCATACTTTGTAAAAGTAGTTTTGGAGACATTTTGTGGTGGCATGGTTTGCTCTTTGTATTTTTACTTTATATTCTTTTTTGGCAAATAAAGGACTTTTGAATTTAAAAAGGAAAACATGTCTTGGTGGTGGGATAGTGTTACTGCTCACTTCATCTCCAGCTGCTGTGCCAAACTCTGCTGTGGTGAGTTCACACCACCCAGCTACCTGCAAGCAAATGCCTTCCAAATCCAAAATTCCAGGCTTCCTTCTCAAAAATACTGGGATAAAGCAATCTCACCTCCCTCACATCTGTGTCCTCAATGTGAAGCACTGTCCCTGTGACGATTTACCAAAACATCCAGCTCCCTCATTTCAACCTGTCCTTAAAAAAAATGAGATATCTCCTGTGTCTTTTGCAAGTGGAATGAACAAGATTAAAAAAAAAAAAAAAAAAAAAAAAAAGGAAAACAAGTAATGCATTTTCTAATTTACCTATATGCAAATGATCTAGCAGAGTGTGTGCAGTGTTGCTCTTGTATTGCTTCACCAAGAGGTGCCTAAATGTGTCTGCAGAACAGTCACCTTTTGGTGAGTTTCTTTAGGGTATCAAAAGCACTTCAATTTCTAAATTTAAACAGTTAAGACCAAAGACCTGCCTGTGATGTTCTTGGTAGTACCAGAAACAGCATCACCTACCTTTCAGAGGGGATTTCCTCAGCTGTGGCAGACACGAGGAATGATCCTTACAAAGGTGCTTGTTTGTATCTTTTCAGTTCTCCAGTTTAGCAATCAAAAATCCTTTTCTAACTGATTTGCGCAGAATTTAAATAAGAATTATCTGGGGTGGGGGTGCTTCTTGCATGCAGTAAAAAGAATCTTCTGTGCTGGGTCACACCAGAAGCTCTGCACAATCCCTGTGCCACAGCTGTGGGATCTGTTCCTTGAAACTCTTGGGAGTTTCACTCAGGGAGCAGCTCCCTGCTGTGCCAGAAGTACCTGCCTTGGCAAACAGGCTTTTCGGGTTTATTTCTCTGTAACTCTGCAGGTTCTTCTGACACCACCGAATGCTGGCACTGGCAGGGGCAGTCCCGGGCTGTGCTGAAGGCACCAAGGGCAGCTGTTCCTGGGAATGTTTTCAGCTCCCATGCAAGGGAAGAACATCTGCAGGGGGAGGCTGCTGTGCCCCAGTGCCCCTGGCTCTGCACTGTGGTCACACAAGCCAGGGAGCAGAACAGCTCCTGCTGGGAGAGCTGCAAGGTAACACATCCAGTGGGGAATGTTTTGTCTCCCTGTCCCCCCCCTCCTCTGGGATTTAATCCCAATCCCAGGTTTGTCACAGGATCATTAAGGTTGGAAAAGACCCCCAATAATCACCAAATCTAACCTTTGAGAGCTCCACCCTGTCCTCTAAGCCCTATCACCAACAGCCACATTGACTTGTGTGCCTGAATGTTTTTTAACATGTCCTATGTGTGATACCTGGGAAGAGCCTTTCCACTCCACATGGAAGCATAGAGGGGTTCTCCTCCTTGTTCATAACGATGTTCAGATCTGGATGGACAGAAGCACTGGATTTTGTACCACTACACATGACCAAAACCTGCTTTTTCTTTTTGACTCTGCTCTACAAATTACAAGGTTTTAATAAAGCTTGGCAGTTAATCCCTGCCTTTAAGGGGATTGGGAAGAAAAGTGGGATATCACACACTTCTTCTATATGAAATCCCAAAGCAGTTCTCTCTGTGCAAACACTGAGAACAGCTCCCCGGATCCAGAGCCCTGCAGGAGGAACACTGGGAATTCCGGGCAGCCCCGCTGGGGCCAGGCTGGAGCTCAACTCATCACTGAGCTGCACCCACCAGTGACTCCCCAGCTCCGTGGGACGGGCAGCAGGGACAAGTCCCTCCCGGCTGTACTGGACTGCATCCTCACCCTGCTCTCTGCCCAAGCCAAGGCAGGAAGGCCCCAAACCAGGAAGCTGCTGTGGAAGGAATGCTTTCCCAGCTGGAGCTGCTGGAACTCCTGTCAGCACCAAGACAATCCTTTCCATTGCTCAGCTCACAAACTACTAGCCAGGAGGGCAAGGAAACCAAACCAAGCCAACCCTAATTTAAACAATTAGAGAATTAATCATCAACACACTAAGTAGTATTTAGACAGTGAGTTCAACATATGCCACACTGATGCCTTCAGCAGTTGCCAAATAGAATTAGAAAACTAACATTTATTAAATCAATTTGAATTTTAATATACATTTCAAGAATGTGGCAGCATAAAAGGAAATGTTTTTAGAAACAACCTGAATCTACCATTTGCAGTTTTACATTAACCATCAGGGCTCTCCTGTTGACGCTCCAAAACACTCTTGACCTAAGTTCTCCAACTTTTGGTACCATATTGAATGCAGCAATGAGATAGTAAAGATTCCAAATACTCCCACATTTCTGGAGCAAAGGTACTTTGTATTTAATTTAATGAAAGTCCTAAAAATGTACCATCAACAATCTCGGCAAAACTGAACAGCTCTGCAAAAGCATTCCAACACAACCCGTGCTGTGCAGCCACTCCCAGACTCCGGGTCGCTACTTTGCTTACACGTAGTGGACTAATAAACAGATTTACATTAGTAGGTCACGATCAAACCACCAAATTAGAGACTGGTAGGATCCCTCTGGGTCAACACAAAAATCACATACAAGTTTAACTAAATACATTTTAATAGGACATCGTTAAATCTCATGAGGGCTAAAAAACACAGATCTTAGGTACTTGGGTTGGCAAATAAAGACAAGAATACTAAGAAGCATTTTCCACCATTTACTCATTATCAAAAATATTTTTCAACTCTTCTTGCAAAACAAAAACAAAAAAGTACAGACTGGACACGTACATCACATTTTTCTTCCTATGGCTTTAACCCCCCACCCTGCCCACCCCACAAAAAAGACGGGGGGAGAAACAAACCAAAACCAACAAAAAGCTCTGACCACATTCACAGAAAATGACACCATGGTACACTACAAAACAAAAGGAGGTGCCATTTGTGTCCAAAGGGTTTTGCTCATTTCTCAGTGAGGAACCGTCATTGTACGTGCTTTGTGCCAAATCAAAGCACACCCAGCGCCGGGCCGGAAAGCACCGTGGGGGCTGTGCCTGAGGAAAAGGGAAGATGGAAGCAGGAAAGGAACTAAAAAAATGCACACACTATTTAACATGCTGATTAAACAGGAATGGCCTTTAAAATCAGACAGTAATGTTTGTGTTCGAGTCAGCCCATGTTCAGGTTGTGCTCTATCATTCCAAGAGGAGAATTTCTACTTTCACAAAGCAATCTCAACTTTTCAGGCTTCCAAAGAAGCCCTGAAGGCACAACTAAATCTTGCGCCTGCACTCTTATTTAGGGATTGCGCTGAAATCAACCATTTTTGCACAAAGCCGAATTCCTATGAGGAATTCTTTCACTGTAACACTTTTCCAGATAAGCTCAACAACTTTGTGTTATTTTTCTATTGTCGAGCCTTTTGGCCCAGGTTGAAAAGCAATGACCTTCAAAAGCTGCTTTCAACATTTTAGCGAAAGTGAGATAGGTTCAGGGTGGAGTGAGTTATACATAGCTTATTATGTTTATCAAACACCCCAAAAATTTGACCTTGATAGCCCTCGATCCTGCGCCCTGGCTGGGAGGTGCCTGTCAGCAGGGAACTCCCCTCCGTGGGAGGGGTCCCAGCTCTGTTACAAACCTGATCAAATAACCCCCTCAGTGGTGGTAAGTGCTGCAGCATCTCCTTGTAGCCCTGGCACTCATCAGCACCAGAGGGGGGAAATCAGCCAAGGACTTCCTGTAACCCACAAAACCCCTTCTCTTCCCTAGAAGCAACAGCAGTAAAACAGCAGGAACTGGGGAAAGGGAGACAACGGTGCTAACAGAACTTGAACTTTTGCAGGGTACCAGTGATGTTCTCCCCCAGCCCAGCCCCTCAGTGACTTGTCATGCACAGGGGGCTGGCACAGAGGGGCAACTGAGCAGGGACATGACCTGTGAAGTGTCAGGAAGACAAACCCCAAGGATGATGATGACATTACCAGGACAGGGTATCCAAGCTGGAGTCAACCTTTGCGTACACCTGACCCTCCTGAGCCTTGCCTGCAGCCTGAGATGCCTTTTGGCCTGCCAGCTCGCTCAGTATATTTATTAATCTTTTTTAACTGTATGCTGTTCAGTAGAGGGCACAACGAATTCTCACAATCATCACTACCTACCCTTTCCAGAGTGTATCCCCCAGCTCAGTGCTGCCTTTCCCACAGGAATGTCAGGTCATTTCCTGCTCATGGTGACTGTAACCCATCAAATAATTTTTTCTCTACACCATCATCTAGCAGAGTTGAGATGCACTATCTGGATGCTACACTGCAGCTGAAGCTTTGACTGAGCACAAAGGATGAGCAAGTACAATGAGGTCAATATACTTCTTGTCAAAAGATCTTGTGATAAAATCATTTACATCAGCAATCCATCTCAAACTATGAGGTGCTGTAAGAACTAAAAACAGTTTTAGGGTAACTCCTCCATTATCTGCAACTATTTCCCAGACACTAATACACAGAACATAGCAATGAAAAACACTTGATACAAGTGATCTAAACGCAGGAGCTCCAGCAAGTTAAACAGAACCATAGCTGCCTTAAACCTGTAGCAGTTCCCCTACGGATGGCAGGGAAAAGAAAGAAAGGTTTAACAGTCATATCTCATGTCTATAGCTTCATCCAAACTTTTCTCATCGTGTGTACTGGCAGCTAAAAACGTCGTTACTGGTGACCCTGTCACATTGATTACACTGGTGCTTGTGCTGGCATTGCGCACGGCAATGCTTGTCACATTAATGCCCAAAGTAAGCCGAGTCTGCTCCAAGGCCTTTTCTGGCACTGCAAAGGCCTCCAGCTTCTTCTCCCCGTTAGCCATGTAGGAGTTTTGGCAGCCACGGCATATGCAGTCAAGGCAGGCTTTGCGGTTAGAGTAGCAAGGGCAGCGTTGGCCACGGCATGTAAGAACACTTGGATTTTGGGTGGCACGACCACATTTACACCCTTTCTTTTCTTGTGGCTTTTTATACACAGTTTTTGTTGGGCTTCCTGG